TATGACGGAAATATTCTACATAAAATTTTCTAGAAAATATTCCGCAACAGCATATGTTTATCTTTTATGGTTGACTCACAATAACACGTGTAACTCCCGATAGCTTAGCAGTTCGGAGCATTCTGATCACTTTACTCTTACTTTTATAATACTCTGACTCATCCCTAATTTAAAAAAATTAACATTATTACATATTCAATAAAAAAAAAACTTAGAAATCGGTATAGAAACACCAAACTTATACATGAAATAAGCCATCGCGCCGTCGCACGTAAATACTGAATCATGCTATAAGGATTATTTTTGTGTAACGGTTGCCGCGCTCGACAAGGGCCGCGGCGGCGCAGCGGTAGGGTATCAAAAGGCGGGAGGTCCGAGAGCGAGCTGTCTAAATCTGTTTTCTGCGTCGCTCCCTCCCCTGGGGGACGATCGCTTCCGATGAAGCCTTAGAGGCCTTCCCGGCCAGAGGCAGCCCCTACGGGTGTTATTTAGTCAGTACGAGTCTGACATAACATTGCAGCCGGCTGTAGGGTATCCATGAGGATTTCACACCTGCACCCCTGCCTGGGAGGAAACAAAAAAAATAAAAAAAAGAGAGCGAGCGAGCTTCAATATTTGGCTGTTGATGCGTTCAGAGCGCTCGACCTTATTGACAGACAATAATTGATATTGAGGAACCGTGCTTATCAGCGCGACTTTTAGTCTTTAAATAGTTTATTTGAATTTCTTTTGTTGTTATTTTGTAAAATAGGTATTAGTTGATTTGGTAGTGTTTAAATATTCGTTCAAATTAAAAAATATTAAGCGTAGGTACTTTTATTAATTAAAGTAGTTATAAGTATTTATTTTTAAGTGAAATAGGTATAGGTAGATAGTATTGCACAGGCGTTTCAGCTTTATTTTCATTTCTTTTTTGTTGTGAGTTGTATATATTTCTGGTTATAATTCTAAAAGAATATTTTAGTTTAAATAGACACTTAGATTTTAAGTGTAAGGTAGCTAAAGTTAGGACCACGTATTAGTTGTTTTGGTAGTGTTTAAATATTCGTTCAAAGTGTAATTTAATCATATGGGATGAATGTACGATGGCCCATCGAAAAGGAGTAGAAGCGGTAGACAGAACTTTAAGGGATATAAGACAAAATGATCGACCAATGGGCGGTATCACAGTTTTATTATGTGGTGATTTCCGACAAACCTTACCGGTAATATCACGGGGAACCCGAGCTGATGAGGTTAGGGCTTGCCTGAAAAGCTCTTATTTGTGGCGTGATATACAATCGGTGCATTTGACTATAAACATGCGAGTGAGAACTGTAGATAACCCGGATGATCGTGAATTTTCTGATATATTATTAAAGAAAATACCTTCACCAAAGATACCTATCCACTGCTACACCAAGGAAAACTTATTCTGACGCCTGAGTTGTGTTGTATAGTGCAATCCCAACAACATATTACATCGTCAGTTTACGGTGACGTAACAAATATATTAAATAAGGATAATTCTTGGCTATGCAAAAGGTCCATTTTAACTCCTCGCAATGACCAGGCATCTGAGATTAATACTGTCGAATATCCAGGGGGAAAGCAAAGTTTATAGTTCAATAAATAGAATGGCCGATGAACAAGAAGCCACTAACTACCCGATAGAATTTTTAAATTCTTTAAATATGCCCGGACTTCCTTCTCATGAAATTTGTTTAAAAATTGGCATTCCGATTATTCTGCTCCGAAATTGAAGACCACCACAAATTTGCAATGGAACTCGGCTTAAAGTAACCCAGTTGCAACAAAATGTAATCGAGGCTCAAATTTTAACAGGTTGCGGTGCAGGAGAAACCATCTTTATTCCCAGAATTCCCATAATACCAAATAATTTTCCATTCAAATTTAAAAGAACGCAATTCCCAGTGTCGGTGTGTTGTGCAATGACAATAAATAAGGCTCAAGGGCAGACTATTCGTGTTGCTGGAGTAGATCTCGGTGTCAGTTGCTTTTCACATGGTCAGTTATGTCGCTCTTTCCCGGGTTAGCAGTCCCAGAAATTTTTATGTTCACATGCCGGATGGGTCAACTTTCAACGTAGTTTACCCGGAAGCTTTGCGCTGAAGTATTTTCATTCTATATGTACCTAAGCCTCATGTGAAAGCGATCTAAACAATATTACCAATACATTAACATAATAACATACAAGTAGTTACATGCTGATGGTCTCGGGGCACAGTGATAATAATAATATTCTGCGGTTCCTTATTGCGATATTTTTAACAGTATTGTGGATTGACATATTATATTTCCCTACTAATACGAAAGTTAATCTGTCTGTCACATCAAAACCACGGAACCCTGAGGAAGGACATATGCTACTTTTTTACGAAAAACGACGAAAACGCGGACGAAGTCGCGGGCAAAAGCTAGTTGTTTATAAAAACGCTTTTTATAAATACAACATTTCAAGGGGTAAAAACGCATACTTTAGAAAAGGTCTTCGTATCTTCTTTATCCCGGCGTTTCGACCAGGTTACACCGGTCGTGGTCACCGGGTAACTGTCATCCCGTGACCACGGAAATGTTATAGTTACAATGCAACGCGAAAATTTCAAAGTGAATCAATCTTGTTATTGTCTAGAAAATAGGCATCATGACAAGAAAAGTAAATGAAATTCTATTTAGTCCGTGTCGGTTATCAAAATAATGGACAATTTTTTTTTTCTTTTGTCAATCAACCAAAAAAATCAAAGTTCGGGGCTCGTGACGTCACTTCCAAGTAAAAATTATACCAAGAAGTGACGTCATGCGACATTTCAAATCAATATATCTCCGTCATGTTTTGATGATTATGTGAGAAAAGAAAAAGTATGTGTCCAATACTTTTTGATAATTTACCTGATGGACGAATAAAAAAAATGAGTCATCATCCCTATTGTTTTATGAATAATAATCAAACAATCTATAAACTTAAGAAAACTAATGTTATATTCCGTTGTTTCACTATATTATCAGGAGATCGGGAATGTAATTAAAATGAAAGATAAATGTTTACGCACTTTTGCACATAACAATATTGTCTGTCTGATTAAAAAAAATAACATTCTGCAATTTATTTTATCTTAGTTGCATCTCGCGGAAAATTAGAAGTAGCTTTAATTGCAGTATATCTTTAGAGTTGTCTCGCGTAACGCTTTTCCAACTTAGGAGTGTGTGCTCGCGATTTCACCCGCGTGACGTCCCATTTAGATTTTTATATTTCTTCCCGCTTCAATTTATATTTTCTCAACAAAAAGTAGATTATGTTCTTCTTGATGTTGCCCTCTACCGCCATACCCAAATGATATTTTTTACAAAATGAAAACATTTTATTTGACTACGTCACGATCTCTACGTAGTGTTCTTCTTATTGTTCATATTGGGTAAAATCTAACAGGTACTACAGCTTCTAACAAGTACTCATTTTTAGACTACACATCTAGAAAGAGCAGTTCGGAATAACTATGATTTACTGTTTTACAGATGTAGAAATTCTTCTTTCTTTTCTGTCTTATGATTGTCATTTAAATTGAAAATCAGGTATATTTATATTTTTTATTTTTTTAAAGCATGTAACTGCTTGATGTTTAAATCCATTAAATCAGATATATTTTTCGATTCTAAGAATTCAATTTCGTTGTGTGATTTAACCAGTTATGTTTATTGTCGAAACGAATTCCGAAAATCTGTCTTTTTTAATGATCATACTGCCGGTATATCCAGTTACAGTAATTTGTGTAATTATTCGCGTTTTATAAGTTTATTTTATGTCGTTTTGAGTAACATTATTTTGATGAAACCTCGACTTGGGATTATTATATTACTCAACAGTCATAAAACTATGTTATAGCCCATAAGCATAACATTGGTAGTGAAAGGAACATAAGATTAAATTATAAATCAAAATCTAATGTTTCTAGTAAAATATAATACAAATACGAAATTTTTTTTTTCACTCTCTTTGAAGTTACTTATTAATATAATTTACTTTAAAAAATATTGATAAATTACATACATTAATATCAATTACTACTGGTTTTAACAATGATATCATGAATGTTTCTAATTTTAGTTAATCAAATAAAATTTATATAAAAATTAACAACAATTTATTTATCGCTTTTTTATCGAAGTAAAGGCACTTCAACCATTGAGACTCAATACTATTTTTTGTATCAGTGTGGGTAGCGTTCTTTTGCATTCTAAAGACATCAACGCGCTACCGATGGTTATTCTATTTGTTCTATATGATGTTTAATATCTATATATATATGTTAGACTTTAAGGTATGTATCTATGGGCCTGCGTTGCCTGACTATAAATTAATAAATAAATAAAATATTCTCTAACAAAGAAAGAGTGAGCTCTTTGTGTATTAAAGGCTAAAAACAATTCTTTGAGTATTCTAACTGTAAGACTCGATGGCATTCCACTTAAGAAAGTTCTTTTCTTTTTAGGCTGCTTTTACACCAGAGATGTGCTCTGCTACATTGCTGTGAATGCGTTTGATATCCACCAATCAAATTCAGTGGTCCACATAGCATAGCATTGTTGTAAACGAGTTCAACTAAGCTATTTTTTTCTATATGGAAGGATGCGTGCTCTGGATGCGGGCTATGATGGCCGCGTGTGGTGTAGCTATATCAAGAGAAGAGTGCCCGCGTATGTCACTGAAAGTAGACATGCTATCGTGGAAGCAAAAAGTAATTTTGTATCTCGCAATGTGCGAAGAAGAACTCATCTACTACACGAAGCTACATTGCGGTGGTGCATCTTCATAGCACATCTTACTTGCCCCGCTACATAGCTAAGCATCAGTGGTCACGTAGTTTCGTAACTTAGTTGACACATCCTCGCAGCATAGCTGCATAGCACATCTCTGGTGGAAAAGCAGCCTTACCTTCGACTTCTTCACTCGTGTGGTTGAATGCTGCATACCAAGTAAAATAATAATTTGTCTCTATTTCCAGAACCGGACATGGTCCCAGGGCATGGAAGGCGAGTCTTCTTGGCAGCAAGTCTCAGGCGGACGCGTGTCGCTGTATGCGGCTTACTACGACGAGCGTACGCCGCAGCGATACGTCAGGATATTGGCCACGTTCCACGGTAAACTACTAGCAGTTTTACTCGAAATTTGAAGGCTTCTTATGAAAAAAAGGCGACAAACAACTATAGGGCCCGCCCTATGGTCACTGGCCATCGAAGTCTTTCGATGCTTGGGAAACCAAAAATATTACTCGTAATACTCCTGCTGTTGGCTACCCTGACGAAATCCCCAACCCCGCAGAGCCAACAATTTCATGACTTTCTATTTTTTTTTTGTAACCCTACAATTAGCCTCGCAGCAAAGTAAGCACTGTAGGCTTGTGTTATGGGATAGTAGGGTAACGGATAGAATACATATAAGTATATATATATATATATATAGAAATACATATAAAACATCCATGACTTGAGCAAAAATGAAAAACTCGTATTCATCACACAAACATTCTGCCCCCACCGGGATTCGAACCCGGGACCTCTCGAGTAGGTGACACCATGAAACCCGGCGTCCAAACCACCCAGGTCTTCAAATACAATGATAGCGTTACATAATATGGCTTTTTGTGTCTGTGGAAAGGCGTGGCGCTTTCCTCGCAACCAGGAGCAACCTGGATATGTGACACTGGTCCCCACTCATTTCACTGAGCTCCGAGTTACAACCATCATTCACATCATTCGTCATTTCACCCAGCTCTGAAGCTGTCCTACCCACTCAAACCACAGACAATACCTACTCCCGCACTGGTCACCAGACAAGTACTCGAGACCATGGTCCCCTGAATGCATGTCATTACATAATGTGGCTAAACACTGCACGTCGGTTCTGTAACACTTCTCGTGAAGCTTCGATAATGCTGGCAAAAGTGTGGACTTGGAGCACCCCGAAAGCGACATTTTGTAGAAGTGAAAATGAATATTTAACAGACGTAAAAAACTCGAACTATCAAAATTTTACAGTGAATTTGTATTGTATATTACATAATAACACTACAGTACAATAGTTGTCAGTCTCAAAAAATCTAAATTCTATAATAAACTAAAAAAATTCATAAATTCTATAATAAGCTGTAAGACAATTTTTATTACAAAAAATCATAGACAACAAATCTATATAAGATTTTTTTGCCAGGGATGCAAACAAATCATCAGGTTACGCTAACAGTCAACCATTTTCATCTATCTTCAACCTTAAGGGATAAGTTTAAAGTTCAAAATACTTCTATATATTTTAAAAACAGTTTATCACCTGTTATCGCCTTGTGACCACAGCGTGTAACGCGATGGAATGGTAAATAAACCTATGATATTGTGCTCGTTCTAAACACGCATTAAAACCTTATATTAAATCTATCTAATGATACAAGCCTAAGGATCAAGAACATCGATTATCGACACAGTTAAATACCTTTATTTCAAAGTAAACAAATAAGGCACATGTTATGGAAATCATGAATAAAGATTTACCATAGTTGTATGCAAACAGTTTACTTAGCCTTAACTACGTGAAATAATTTTATTAAGATCGTAATTTATTCATTCCTGCCCCTGCATAGGTGGCAATTTTACTTACGATATCATTTATTCGGATACTAGCGGCCGCCCGCGACTTCGTACGCGTGGAGTTAGTTAGAAATAAAGGTTCATTGCTCGTTCCCCGTAGGTGATAGCGTGATAATATGTAGCCTATATGTTGACCCGACTTCTTAATAATATTCGTGCCAAATTTGAAGTAAATCCATGCAGTTAAATATCTGATACTGGCTGCTTCTACAGACATAGCAACATTTTGCCTTATGATGGCGTAATGTTATCAAACTAATGTCAACAATGGCAGCTACCGGAATCGGAAGTGAGATTTTATTTTATAGAGTCGCCCTACTGACAGAAAAATATAGTGAAATGAAATAAACACCCAACCATTTTTGGGTTTAACTTCTTTGTCGGTGAGAAAGGTTTCCAGTACTCCATGTGGGAAGATTTCCACCTTCCAGAAGAATTGATTTCAAAGCTTTTATTTAACTTGCAATCTATGTATGTAAGTATGTATGTTTGTTCGGGTGGAATCTTGTAACTCAATTTTGAAGCAGATGTCTTCATGACGTCACCTTAAATTCGCTGAACTTTGTTTAAAAATCATGATTAAAGTGGAACTTTTATTTCAGCGTCACAATTTTTTTTTGTACAATTTTAGCAGGTCGCATTACATTTTTGTTATAAAAAGATCAGACCATGCCACGCGGGCCGGCCGGGTCGATTCCCAGCCGAGTAACGTTTTATTTCCACTTATTATAAGCCGGAGTAAGAATCAACTTTGAATAATTTTCCAAAAATTGACAATTAAGTGCCTACGATCTGAAAAAAATTGATGCAATGTAAAACCCTTCAAAAGTTTCATTTCCATCATAGTTTTATAAAACCACAGCTTTATGACATTAAATTTTCACTGTGGATTTGAAAAAATATTCAGGGAAATTTTATATTTTCAATACATGTGCTATTAAACCTTACTCACCGACAGAAATACAACACCACCAAAAGGTAGAGTTATTTTACTGTGAGCTTATGTGAGGTGGAGGTCACTTCCACAGACAGGCGCTCTAATTCGAGCGCGGAATATCCGCTATGCCCTACCTCCCTTAAATGTCTGGACTTCACCTTCACTTAACATCATCATCATTTGTCGGACCTATCTATAAAAAAAAACTAGTTATTTTTGTCTTAAAGTTGAAGATAAAATTGAAGTTCTTATCGTAATTCATGAAAATCTTGTAATATGAATATGTTGACATTGTATATTTTCTTGACATACTATTAGATAACTTTGACATTCATAATTCAGTAGAAAAATATTTTAAGTAATTAATCTCTTTTTTTTCTCATATTTGTTCCATATGTATTTGCATGCTATTTTTAAAATGACAAAACACGTGCTCAATCCCCATTAAGTAATACCTGTATACCGTGTTTTTACCAAATTAAGATTATGATTAAATAGAAAGAAACTTTAGTGAGGTGAATGCTCCCCGAGGACTGACAGGACCGGCACTGACACCCATCGCCACACATCAATTACCATAATTAAACGATTTTCTGACTCGATGAAGTGTGCAAAAGGAATTTTATGCCTAAGGCGCACCGACGTATTGCTAGTGGTACTTTTAACTAAGTACTAAAATAGGTATATTATGTACCTATGCGTCACGACGCGTTTTGATCTTCGATACCATAGAACACACTCCGTCCAGTTTGACAACCTCTGTCGTGTGAGTATGTGTGATGAATACGAGGATTTGTCCTATATTAAATTTAGTTCGTGTTACACTGGTTGTTCTGCGCTACACATATAATAGTAAGTATTCTCATTGTAAATGAACTTTATTTTTTATGAGAATAAATTCTTTAAACTCAACCTAATAGCTGGCCTAATTGATGGCTACTTGTATATTTTTCTAGATAAAATATACTTGTGATTTCCTAATGATTATCATTATATTCTATCCGTTACCTTATTACACGAACCTTACAGTGCCCACTTTGGGGCTAGGCTAATTGGTGTAAAAAGATCTTATTTATTTATTGCAATAAATGTAAATTTACGGAAAAAATGGATGTCAATAAAAATTAGTATTTACGACTAAGAAATTTAACAACTCGACCCACAGAGTTAGAATCAGAAGTCGTACTCTTGGAAATCGACTTATAGTTTTCATGTACGAGTATAATGAACTAATTCATGTTGTCTCATACTTTACCGGAATAAAAACTAAATAAGGTAGAGTAGGAGGGCTGATAATGATTTAATAAACGATGTATCGACACTGATAATTTCTGCTCTATGGTTTGATGCACTTATGCCTGAGGCCTGATTTGTAAGTGTTTGATGCCTAAGTTTTATCTAATTCCAATTAACTGAATAAAACATGTAAGTAAAAACTAAAAGCAATCATAATATAAAGTCTAACGGAAAGCAGATGGAAATTGTCGCCTAGACGTAAAAAAAACATAATATGTCCAATGCATTATTCAGAAGGCCGATTCCTATTGTTATTTATTTGTTACAAACATTTCATTAAGTACAATAGTTTAGAAAAAAGTTGCATTACATAGTAATGTGTACAAATAAGCTGGTTAACAGGTCGTAGTATACTATAAATGGCTGCTCATTAATATTACAACTTTACGTTGGTACACCTTGCTTCTTCAAACTTAATTAAACTGTAGCTAATCATGAATAATTCAGAATCATTTTTACACATAAATACACACATAATAACTTCATAGGTCATTATTAACATAGAGACAAAGAATTATGTAATACATAGTCTGTTCAAAAAGTATAGTGAATTTTGGATTTCCGCTGCCTTCGTCTAGGTATTGGTTTTTCGATTTTTTTCATGGCGGTGTATCGGTACTCATGTTGCTCATTATGATATTAAAGTGAGGCATTTTGAATGTTCGGTTAATTTTCGACAGATGTTTTCCTTGGACGTGTTTTGACACATCGTCCAAATCCTAAAAATAGGATTACCATTTCTGTATCCATTTTTGTTAAAAACAACATTGGTAAAGCTTTCAACAGTTATCGGTGCTACAAAACTTTCTTAGAGGGCCAAAAAAATGTGAATGAAAACATTGATTAACAAAATGCTATTGGCCAATCGTCGAATCACCATTAGACAAGTTGATGAGGGCCTAAATATATCGATAAGCTTGTGCCATTCGATTGTTATCAATGAATTGGGCATGAGGCGGGTCGTCGCGAAATGCGTGCCAAAAAGCCTTTTTTTTTTAATTGCTTGTGCGCAGGTTTTTGGCCAAAAGCAACATACTAATGAATGATCCCGCAGCCACCCGTATTCCCCAGGCCAATGAATAGACGATGCTACTGCAATGACGAAGAGCGATAAAAACGGCATCGAAGAGGACCTGAACAAGTTCACAAAGTACTTTTTTATTAATGATTCGAGAAAAACTTTTTATACGAGTATTATATCCGAATGGAATTACTTTGTAGGGAACCAAATAGACATTCATGAATAAATGAAAACTGTTTTCAGAAAACACAAAATCAGCGATACTTTTTTAAACAGCTTTTTATTATTGATTTTAAAAAAGAATGATTATATTTTTTTATCATAAAACTAAAACCTTAATATGTCACTTACGAAATGTCTACTCTTCTGCATTACTCAATAAAATAATAAGAAGACTGCCAAATCAAGGTTAATCTTAATTATGTTATCGACACGATCGGCAATTAACTTCTATTTGAACTGAGGAGCAAGCACGCGCGCCGCCTCAAGCGTCTCTCCGCTGAGGTAATTATATATTTATTTTCCATACCGTACCGTTTTCAAGTAATTATGTAAATTAGCTATAAATACGCCCTACGCATCATTCGAACCAAGCTCAAAGTATCACATAAGACTTAAATAAAAAACGGAATCGTCTCAATAAAAGTTTACTGCACAAATCCTTAAAATGAAAACAGACCGTGAGCGCATAATTTTAGGTTCCTGGAACCCGCGCGTGATGTTATAAGTGGAATTTTAAAAGCAAAAAGCGTATTTTACTTTAAAAAACTGACACAATCTCCTCCAATAAAGACATCCGCGAAATCTCTTGGGGTGATAAAACAACACCATAATTATCGGACGACCGTCGTGGTATCGGACCCTCGTTTGTATTTTCTCTGCGAGTCCAAGAGCAAAATAACAAAATACACGTAAGTGGTCAATCGCAACTTAATCACGGGTAAGGTAATAGGGAGGGAGGTCTTGTAATTTTATTTGCGGGATGTGCACCTATATAAGTCACTGCGGTTGTCTCATTAAAATCCAATTGTGGTAGAAGTGTTCCGAGACTCGGTTCTTAGACGCAAAACCGCGTTCTTGGGAGAATCGCAATGGAATCGATACCGTTCTTACCATAATGGCGAAGTTAATATTTTGCATTTTTAAAAACACTTTTGTAATTTGAAAGTCTTACTTTTAATGATGATAATGCTATTGTATAAATGAAACACTCAACTATTGAAATGTCGATATTTAAAACGAATCTCATACCATGTCGTCTGTAAATTTAAACGGAACCTCAATCTTTACACCGTTTTTACGGGAAGTTACAGTACCAAAATATTTAAATAAGAAACGAACTTTATCTTTTCCGACAACATTAGCTGGTAATGAAATGCGCGTGCAAAATGATTATTCCCAAAAGATTCCGTCAACAGCATATCATTAAAAATTTCGGTGTTTCAGTAACAAATCTGGGAGGTGATAATATTCGCAAATTATGCGACGTTCAAAATGCGACTACGTTTTTCTGAAAACAACATTCTTCCCATGAGGATTTCTTCACAATCGCAGTCGTAATAAGTAATAATCTTATCACCATTGGTTTGCATACATCTTTATACAGCACATAAGTATTATTATTTGTTAGTACTGCCATGTTCTCTTACTCTCACTTTCACATGTACACTCTTCAAGACACAAGATACTTTAATACCTTCGGATGCAACGTTGAACATATACAATACAATTAGAGTCAAACTTCACTTCACTTCAAGTAAGTTTGTTTTACCATTAAATTATCTACCAAATGGAATATGGTAGGGGAACCGACGGATTCGCGAAAATGCGCGTGGGTCGTTCGCCGCGGTCCGATAAGGTCCACCTCATTTGTCACATGGGGCGAGCTAGCACGTCGTGTAAATTCCTTCCTCGCGAGATAAACGCTGCACCGAGCCGGAGTCGGATTAAATTCGAACTTGGCTTGCTATTCTAATGCAATTTTGAACATTTTGAGTGCGACAACATAAATTTCATTTTTATTCCGAAAATTAACTCGGTACCCTATTACAAACTAGCGATTGTCGTCTACGAAAAATAATTATTATTCTCCATGCTATCTTTCATTCCCTTCAGATATTTCACCCGCTACAGATATTTTTACGACAAAAAGTTCATTCCCACAGTTTATTTTCCACTTATAATAATATCATTATAGTAATATGAATACATGTGAACCTACACGTTGCAAACGCACTTAAATAACAATAATTTTATCTCCAATACCAATAAAAGCTCTTCTAATAGCCACTTTAACATACGTTGTAACGTATGTTAAAGTCTATAAATGCGCAATGTCTGCACCTGTAGGAAGTCCTATTCAACCCAAGGAAACCAGTAATTCAGACACCGTTGTAATGACAGTTCCTCCTAAGCGCTCGACGGCGCCCAAGGAAATGACTCTAGCAAATTACTATATTAGAACTTCAGTAATAGCTTTCTACTATAAGATATTACAGTAAAGTAACAGGTTAGAAACGGTACTTGTGAACACTATAATTTGTACCTTTTGTTCTGACGTAGATTATATGGATTCATTTTTATTAAAAAATCTTATTGTTTGTCCGCAGGTCGCAACTTTTCAACGGAACCATTGTATTGTCAAACTCGCGTTCTGGACGAAGATTCTGTTGAAGTGGTTGCAGCTAAACCTCTTGAGATTTGGTGGCACGAATGGGACGCGTACTCTGCCGACGTTGAAACACCGCTACTGCTCTCATGCCCACTCATAGAACCTTTGAAACAACCTTCCGTTGTATCTATTGTTACCCAACCGTGTGATGATCCAACCAACGCTTTTTACTTGGAACCTATTTCTAATAGGAAATATGAAAGACGTTTCACAATATGTGTGAAAGACATGAACTTTGATAGGGATGTTTCCCAGAATTTCGTTGAATGGCTTGAAACAAACAGAATACTCGGAGTTGAAATGATTGATTTATACATTGATAAAATAAGAAAAGAGAGTGAAAATACTTTATTACATTATAAAAATCAAGGTTATGTTAGACTTTACAATGTTCCTATTAAGTATAAGCCAGACAGATCTCTTTGGCAGAGACGAAGAGATCACATTATTACTTATAATGATTGTTTATATAGAAATATCAGAGAATCTGAATTCATCATTCCATTAGACCTTGATGAGATCGTGTTACCAAAAATAGCAGACACTCTACCCGAACTAATACAACGTCTGAACAAAATCGGCTGGGATCCATCACAAGACTCAGCTATTCTGGTCAGAAATGTGTTTTTCTTTGGTTTCATGCAAGGTATTGATCAATACAAACTGAAAAAGATTGAAACTAAAAATAAAGTTTATGTCAAACGTGACGACGTACGAATAAAAGATGCAGAAGATTTAGATATAGGTGAAATTGAATTAGTATCTGAAAGTAGTAATATAGAATATGAAAATAATGAAGTCATAGATTTTAAAGCATTAGACAATGATTTGTATGATATTTATAAGTCGAGATGTAACCATGATTTGATAACTCCTAAGCTAGTGCAACACATTGTGAGCTCGAAGACTGTTAGTCCTATTGGATTTTATAGCAAAAGCTTGATGCTAACAAGAAAAGTGTTGACAGCTTTCAATCATTATCCATTGGCTAATCTCGGGACATCGGCGTTCGCGGGATGGTACGCACCTCTACATGAAGTTCAGCTCAACCATTATAAGGTACATGTTTCCATTTATTCATAATTACTATGAGGTTGATGCGTGAGAGTGATAAAAATATAGAATGTATCTATGCTAATACATATCCAATTATGCATATGCCAAATATCATTATTAGTGTCCGACCGAAAGTTCGGCCAAAAATTAAGTTTCGGCGGCAGTTTCGGTTTCGGCCAAAATTGGCCGAAACTTTTGACGAAACCGAAACTGATTTCGGAAATTGTCGTGCACGCTCGCCTTACTTCGTTTCTTGCACAGCAGTCCATACCTATATTGAGAAGTGCAGTTTCCTATATTGAAATAAAAGAGATTGATGATTCTTCTAAGTACAAATACAAACACCAAAGTATTAATTTATAAGATTCCAAAATACCAATGGGTATTTAATGAAACAGTAACAATTTGTGAATTGATTATTGATAACTGATAAAAAATTTGCTATGAGAACTTAATTTGAAAAAATAATAAAAATGTTATTACTATTTTTTTATATTACACATATATTTAATATATGCTTACCTACAACAAAATTAATGTACTGTGTTTCGATTTCATGTCCTAATTAATTCTGAATAATGGGTAAAATGCACCAAATTTCAGTATTTTAAGGAATTTTAATCTTGGTACCACGTGAGTTACGGTTTCGGTTTCGGCCGAAAACCAGTTTCGGTCGGACTCTAATCATTATAGAATTAATCACTTCTTTTATTTTTCTCGTTTTATGTTTACTTGCTGTTTAAAATTTAAAAGAAAATATAATAATCTAGTTCTAAATAAATCCAACGTCGTTGCTAATTCAAAGAAAACCGTTAGCTATGATCTGATAGTTCCTAGAACCCTCAGTTTGGGCGTCCATCTAATAAACAACGCTATCGTGCCGTCACGGTGCAATAGTCGTGCAACACGATGGTACTATACTGTACCTTTGTGGTTAAATATTACTCGTATATTAAAGTGAAACTAGTATTACATCGCCACAATTGTTTCGCATATCGCATTACTTTTTCAATTGTTATTAAAAATCAGACCTTATCAACAAAAAATGCTGATATATATCCAATTAAGTATTTTATTGGTGGTTCAGTGGTTGAAAGCTTGCCTGCTACGCGGGCGGCCTGGGTTCGATTCAAAGCCGAGGAAAGACATTTTTAATAATATGTTTACATTTTTTTCCCCCAGAAATCACACAATTCGATCTCTGATTTATGTATTTGTGTGTGTCTTCTACTCGTTTACTATATTGAACATTGTCAGTGCAGTACCTAAAATATTTTTTTCTAGTTTTTTCTTTTTATGATAATTGTGCCATTTACGAGCCATCTGCCAGATAAAAATAATAAATTACCCGGTACACACAGTAGCCACCGAGTTAGTCTAATTGCGATGGCATGCTGGAAACATTGTCTAGCGCATTATCTAAATATAGATCGTTTTTGCAGGAGTCTTGCAACACGACGGTGATGCCGGAGTGTGCCGCGTATGGGAAACGCGCGCGGCTCGACCGCTCGGCGCAGCGTTTTCGCCGCCCGCTGACGAAGGCGCTCGCTTACGCAACCTGCACGGGAATAAACAATACCTAAACATACATAAACTTTTATTTAACCAACCTCATTGCAAACAATTTCTTCCCGTCAAATACGAATATTGTATCACACTTGAGACACGGCTATTTCATACATAATACATATATGTACTAAATAGTCGACGTCAAAAACATGTTTTCGTGCTGAGAGTGTATTATATTAACCGTATACTACCTATGAGGTTCGATTTCTAGTTGAATCAAAGTTGTTTGTTAATTTTTTTTTTTGTATGTATCATAATTAACCAAATTTTTAGATCGTGTTCTTACCACATTCGATGTTTTGTCACCTTTCAAATGACATGGTGTGAAGCTGATACAAAATTACAAAAGCTTAGATACGAGTAGTATATAAACATTGTGTACTCAAGTGATATTGTTGACCAGTTTTTATGAACTTTGTAAGATGTCTTGTCTATCCACTAAATAGCTTGAACAACAAAGTTCGCAGATACCCAGTAAAGGTAAGCTTTATCCTTTACTAAACATAAATGGAAGGCAATCTCTACGTTGTTGCTGGTAATATTGTAGCAATGCCATTAGGAAAACAACGTTGCTATTTAATAATAATTATAAAAGATAGAAATTTCTCCAGACAACTTCTTTAGAAGTCTTTAAATTATGGTCAGTATCAGTATATCCTTAGTCTTTAGAAAAAATATTAATAATACAGAATTGGCTTCAATTATCATTAAACGAACGAATGAAATGTAGCCATCACCGATTCACATAACATCATAGAGCATGACAAAATTATGTTAAAAAACATTTTGCGTTTGTTCAATGGATGGAGCATGAATTATGAATGCGATATTATAATATTGGCCATAAGAATTCCCATATAAAGATGTTTGATGGTAAGACTAAGGCACGTGCTCCGGACTTGGGAATGAACATATTAATATTAATGAGCTCCTAGGGCTACCCGGAGGTAAACAAAAAGACATTGGTGGCTATCGAGTGTCGACAGCTACAGTATAAGATCGCGCGATAAACTTTGAAAATAACACCTATCGACAAGATAATTTTTTAACTTATACTTACGTAAGTAATAATGAAGGTTACTGTTATCTTATTCTTATCCGACTAATATTATAAATGTGAAAGTTGGTATGTTTGTTACTCAATCACGCAATACTACTGAATGGATTTTCATTAAATTTTGGTACGCATATAGTTTATGACCAAGATCAAGACATAGGATAGTTTTTATCTCGAAAAAAATTGAGGTTCCTGAGGGATTGTCAAAAACTAAAGATAAAGCGAACGAAGTCCCGTGCGACCGCCAGTATAATAATAATATGGTGAAATATCTGTTTTGCATTGAAATTGTTGTGATCTTTGAAAAAAAATAATGTATCTGTCCACAATATCGTCCAGTGTAGGTATACAGTTAGGCCTAGGTACACATGAGACTTATCTATACAGAGTTTCAAATGTTTTATCGTTTTTTACCGTTTTTAAGTCGTAGGAACTTGAAAGCTTTCCACGGTGACTCCTATGTTTTAATCCAGGTACCTAATAAACTCCTATTTAATATTGTTTAATTTTTATTATTTACATTAATATATACAGGAACAATGAACTTTAAACTAAAAACCTTAAAAAAAAATGGGTGCGTGTACTTATGTAGGCGCGTGAGAAGTTATCCTTCTTTGGCATCGTTTAAAATTAGTTTTTAATTGCATGCAAATAATTAATTACAATAAATTAATAAAAAGTCTGGAAAAGGACGAAGTCAATAAAGTTCAGTTTTAATTTGAAAAAATAAATAAATAATCAAAATATTCAATTAAAATCGCTACTGAATATAATTTATTAGAACATATGTGATTGGCACTTGTATGAAACTCAAACACGTATTCCGAATATACAAACTAGAAACATGCGGATAAATATTATAAATATGAATACCTATAACTGTTACTTTATTACAAAAAATAAAGATGTGGTTTTTGGTTCTACTACACCAATGGTCAAGAGATAGCGCTGTAGTCTCCTGAATCGCGCTTTGGTTCCGTTGTTCCAGATTAATAAATACTTTTGATAGGCCTCCACAATGCAGTCGTTAGCACCCACTAAATAGAGATCCTATTTCTATTTTGTTGGTAGATTTTCTTAATGTGCGGTAAACATAAAAGTAACGCGTGAAGTTGGTCGCTAAAGCGACCAACTTCATGCTGTTAAAATTTTGTGTTACAGTGATGCGCGCGCATTTTAAAATTTCACTCTCATCATTTTTTCATAACGCGCCTAAAGAAGTATAACTTCAAAATATAATAACTAAAATATATTACTAAAAGGAGTCCCTTTAGGCTAGATTCCGAAGATACTGGCAGCGTTCCCCCTTTGAATAGCTATCTGTGTGCTTAATCCAAATTAGTACTTTTGGGTGATTGTGAGACACAAATATCTAAACATATAAATTATATATTTTTAAAGAATGTTTAGAAGTAATGTCATTCGTGCGCCCGAATACGGGCTAACTTCTCATTTTCATTCTGTATAGAGCATGACAAGGTTAGACTCTTATCAACTTTAATTTGATCTAGGAAGATAAGTCAATGTCATATCAATCTACATTTTAAGGTGGTAAAGCTTTTACTTAAATTTAACCATAATTTTTAAAATTGCAAGAAATGCAAACTAAGCTTACCAAGGTTTAAATAAAACTAGTTTTAACGGGTTAATGCACGAAACTTTATTTATTTATTGACGTTTCGCAGCCTTTGCAGGTCTGCTTCGTCAGAATGAAAAGGCTGAAAAGGCTGCGAAACGTCAATAAATAAATAAAGTTTCGTGCATTAACCCGTTAAAACTAGTTTTATTTAATGAGTGATGTGCGTGAAAACCTAAGAAACAAATATTTACCAAGGTTTGCTAGATGTAGTTTTTAACTTTCAATACATATTCATACTGAAAGAAAAACTTAAATCACACGTGCATTCCGTGATCTGATAATAAAGACTCCATATCTGACAGTTAAAGCAGTGAGCATCAGCAGCAGCCGTTATTTCCTATTGTTCTTTTTGTTATTCCTATAAATAATGGGAAATAAAAAAGGAAACTATACTTAGACTAAGTATTATGGTACTTTTGCAGATGTCGCAAGCATAAATATTCAAGCAACGAGTGCAAAATGTAGATTTGAATTAACCTATTATCAATAATAGTGATCTTCTCGTGTGTTTAATAATCCCTCCCATTCTCTTGATGTCATATTATTGATGCTCTGTCACGCAATAATTTTGGATTAGCGCTTGGAATGTGATATCTGATATTGAATCTAAGAATTATTACTTATAGCAAAGAGTTGCCAACCCTAGACGGATAAAGTCCGAAGTTATCAATCGGGATTCGTGATTGACGACAAAGTCAAATGTATATATACTTACCCCCCGATTCTGTGCTACTTGACAGATATAGCGAAAATGCAAGCTTTTTATGTGGTAAACGGCCACCGTTATAAACGCTTGGGATACAAAAATTATCACTCGCGCCATTGCCTACCTCGACCCAATCACCTAAACCGTTATAAAAGTTATGAAACAATTTTCCGTTATCACTTTAGCATGTTATTGAAATAATGAACAAATATTTAATTTAAAAAATTATGTTCTAGAAATTAGATTGTCGTGTTTGTTTTGCAAATAGAACAAGAGCTATGATTACACAGTCGTTATGGATCTCGCAGTTTTACAACGAAGGTGTAAAATTAGTTGGGAACTAAAGTACCTACACGTAAACTGACTTTTTTTCTCAGCTCAATGCTCTTTATAAATAAGTACTGAGAACTTATTTTAAAGAGAACGTGATTACTGTAACTAACATCCTATGTTTCTACATCTTCTTAAAGTTGTGTTTAAATACAACTTATTTTTTCCTTATTAGACTTAGTCCACCTATATGGTTTTATCCATGTCTCAGCTTTACCAAATTAACTTACTAAAAGAATTTCACACATAAAAATATCACGTTCGACTTAATATTGAATATTAAATTATTCAGGAACTAGATACCTCAACCTATCTATCAATTTTACTTTTCTTACAGTATGGCCGATTCCATGGTATCCCAATGTCAGATTTCTCGTGAACAATGGCCAAATTCAATGATATTAAAAATGTCTTTAGAATTTTACCAATTCCATCTTAGAATAATAAACCGCGAAGCATTTAATAGATCTGGCGCACCCACCGTAACGACGAACATTTATGTCATCGCATCTTGCTTTTGTTCATAATAACGCAGACTACCACTGTGTATGCGTCAGTCGGAAAATGGTCATTCGACCACCATTACCTGCATCTCGTTCGATCTCATCACGTTCTTCGAACGAAGTTTAGCTTGGTTCAATCGAATGACAGTTAGGTGTTCCGTTTCAATTTTAATGCAAGAAACGAAATGAAACCAAGTACGTATTATGCTAACGCGGCAATGACGGCCGTGTCAAATTTTCTCTAGTATTTCTTAGCTGCACTTCAGTGCCATCCCTTCGCATTGTGGGCCCACAAAGCGACCTAAGAAATGCTAGAGAAAATTCGACACGGCCATCAGGGCCGCTGCATAATGCTCAGGTCATAAAGCATAATGGTCAGAGCATTCGCCCGGATAGCGGAGTGTGCAGGTTTTAATTTTTTAAGCATTCAACTGCTATATTATTATGTTTAAATCTAAAGAAAATTTTACTAGAAAAAATTCCACGTGGACCAGGCAATTCTATATGGCAGAACCACTAATGAAATAGATATGGTGGCTTTCGCGTCCTAAATAATTAAGTTTTATACTTACCGAAGAGAAGAGTAGCAAAATTAACGGAACGAGTAGCCATGTTTAGCAACTTTGCTCTGTTAATGTAACATAGGTGGAATGTTGTAATAATAGTAAGGGAGCCCAAGCGGCGATTTTTGGAATGACTCAAGCGCAGCAGATTAACATAAGGGGGCCAACCTTGCCCCTTGTGATGTACTCACATACCTGAGCCATCAGAAATCAATATATCT